ACCACTGCCATAACTCCAGTTCCAGGGGATCCAGGCCCTCTTCTGGCCTCCACGGCCACTGCATATACATGGTGTACATGCTGACAAAACACTCATACACGAAAGGTTTTAAAATTTTAAATTTTAGCCAGGGAGGCAGAGGCAGGCAAATTTCTGTGAGTTCCAGGCCAGCCTGGTCTACATAATGAGTTCCAGGCCAGCTGTGGCCACAGGGAGACCCTGTCTCAAAAAAAATAAAAAATAAAAAATAAAAATTTAAATTTTAGGGGTTGGAGAGATGACTCTGGTTAAGAGCACTGGCTGCTCTTGCAGAGAATCCAGGTTCAAATCCCAACACCTGCATGATGGCTAACAACTGTCTATAACAGTAGTTCCAGGGGATCCGGTGCTCTTTTAAGTGTACAACATGGTGCACTTACATGCAGGCACAGCAGTCATGCACATAAAAAAAAATTAAACTTTAATAATATTTATTTTCACATGCGGGTGTGTGCCACAGTGTACATGTAGAGGTCAGAGGACAACTTGTAAGAGTCAGTGCTCTCCTTCTACCATGTGGGTACTGGGGATTGAACTGTGGTCATCAGGATTTGGCAGCAAGCACTTCTACAGGTGCTAAGTCATCTCACTGGCCCTTAACATTTTTTATAATAAAATGAGGCAGGGAGGGGAGAACAGTATAGAAAATATAATTCCATATTGTTTCTCCCATGACCATCAGTTTATGGCCTGCCATCAGAAATCAGCTGGTTAACAAAATAGGCAGTGTGTTCACCTCGAAGGTAGTGGCTGCCACTGAGCAGACCTTGTGTGGGTTGAAGCCACAGTTTCCCTGCTCCATTGTGGGCTCCCTTCTGCTCTATCAGAGCTCAAGTTTCTGTCTCCCCTAACTTCTTTTGGTTTATTTCCTCCTCCTGGAGGAACATATGTTCCCGAAGTTTCCTCAAATGTGGTATTTGGGAGGTAAATTTTTTTTTGAGAACTTATTTATTGAAAAATGTTCTTGCGGGGTGTGGTGGTGTAGGCCTTTAATCCCAGCACTTGGGAGGCAGAGGCAGGGGGAATCTCTGTGAGTTCAAGGCCAGCCTGGTCTACATAGTGAGTTCCAGGATAGCTGGAGCTACAGGAAGACTGTCTCAAAAAAAAAAAATGTTCTTATTTTTCCCACCTACTAGATCAATGATTTGGCTACAAGGAGAATTCTCGCTTAAACATTATTTTCCTAAAGAATTCTTTTATTAATTTTTTTTTACATTTTATTTATAGTAAGGGCCTAGGGCACCTGTCTTAGCATGCATATGGAGGTTAGAGGTCAACTTGAGGGAGTTGGTTCTCTCCTTCTACCATGTGGGACCAGGGGTTGCATTCAGGTCCTCAGGCTTGGTAGCAAGCACCTTTACCACTGAGCTGGCCCTTTCCTAAAGAATTCTGAATGCACTGCCCCCTCAAGTGTAACTGCTAAGAACTTCAAAGCCATTCTAATTTCCTGTTTCTTTAAGACTTTTGTTTTCTGTTTAGAGGCTGGAAGGATCTTATCTGTTCACAGTGTTCTGAAGTTTTTACAAGTATATACTCAGGAGTGGCTCTACTTTCATTCCATCTGCAAACTCTTGACTTTTAGGTCTGGGAAATTCCCTTTGAATATTTTCTGTAGACACTTTACTTATTTGCTTTCCTTTGTTCCTTACCTTTTATTATAGAATATTTTAGGATGGTGGAACTTCCAGGTTTGGTTTTCTTTTCTTTTTTGAAAGATTTACTTTAAAATTAAAAAAAAAATTTATTCTATGAGTGTTTTGCCTGCTTGTAAGTGTACCTGTGTGTGCAATACCCAGGGAAGCCAGAAGAGAGCAACCAGATCCCAAGGAACTGAAGTTACTGATGGTTGTTAGCCATCATATGGGTGCTGGGAACTGAATCCCAGGTCCTCTGCAAGAGCAGCCAGTGCTCTCAACCACTGAGCCATCTCACCAGCCCCGAGTTATTTAAAACAATTTTTTTTTTCGGTCTTTTTGAGACAGGGTCTCCCTGTAGCCCCAGCTGTCCTGGAACTATGTAGACCAGGCTGGCCTTGAACTCACAGAGATCCGCCTGTCTCTGCCTCCCAAGTGCTGGGACTACAGGCATGCACCACCACACCCGGCTTAAAACAATTAAAAAAATTTTTTTTTATGTGTGTTTTGCCTATACGTAAGTATATACATGCAATGCCCACAGAGGTCAGACTAGGGCATTGGATCCCCTGGAACTGGAGTTACATACAGATGGTTGTTAGCTGCCATGCAGCCATGTAGGTGCTGGGAACTGAACCCAGGTTCTTTGCAAGAACCTGGGTCCTTTGCAAGAGAAGCCAGTACTCTTAACTGATGAGCCATCTTTTCAGCCCCTTAAAATTTATTTTTAATTATGTGGGGTATGTGCACATGAGTGCAGGTGCCTGAGAAGGCTAGAGGTATTAGATCCCCTGGGGTTGAAGTTCCAGGAGATTGTGACCTGCCTGGTGGTGCTGGGAACCAAACTCAGGTCCTCTACAAGAACAGCAAGTGCTCTTAACCTCTGAGCTATCTCTCTAGTCCCTGGTCTGGTTCTGTAATGGTCTCATTTTCCTCTTTTCCATGTTTACATAACTTATAAGTCTTCTGAGAGATTTCCACAGTCTGATATTTCAACTTTTTGTTTATTTATTTATTTTTGATACAAGGTCTTACTCTGTAGCCCTGGCTGGTCTGGAACTTGCTATATAGACCAGGCTAGCTTCAATCTCACAGAGATCTGCCTGCCTCTGCTTCCAAGGAGTGCTGGGACTGAAGGTGTGTGTCAGCATGTGTGGCTCTGATATTTCAACTTCCTATTGAATTTTTTTTTTTTTTGCTTTTGCTTTTTGAAGTTAAAAAAAAAAAAATCTGACTGGGAATGTGGGTCAGCGATTGAACACAGGAAAAAGCCCTGGATAGGATCCCTATCACAAAACCAAAATGAAGTATCAAGCACTGGGGGATGGCTCAATGGGTAAAGCACTTGCCAGGCAAGCATGAGGACCAACATTCAGGTCCCCAGGACCCACATCAATCCCAGGTGGATGTGGTGGTTTGCCTGTAATTTTAGTGCAAGATAGACAAGTTCCCTGGGAAAGTTTTCTTTTCTTTTAAAAAATACTTTATTATTATTATTATTATTGGTCTTTTTGAGACAGGGTCTCCCTGCAGCTACAGCTGGCCTGGATTCACTATGGAGACCAGGCTGGCATTGAACTCACAGAGATCCACCTGCCTCTGCCTCCCGAGTGCTGGGATTAAAGGCATGTGCCACCATGCTTGGCAATACTTTATTATTTTTATGTCTAGTATGTTGCCTATGTGCATGTAAGTGCACCGTGTAGCACAATGCCCAGAAAGGTCAGAAGAGAGTGTTGGATTCCCTGGAACTGGAGTTATAGATAGTTATTAGCTGTATTAGTTGCCATGTGGTGCAGGGAATCGAACCAGGGTCCTCGGCAAGAGCAGCCAGTGCTGCGCCATCTGTCCAGCTCTGTGAACTGTCTTTCCCTTTCTCTCTCTCCCTCTCTCTCTCTCTCTCTCTCTCTGGTCTTTTTGAAACAGGGTCTCCCTATAGCCCCAGCTGTCCTGGAACTCACTATGTAGACCAGGCTGGCCTTGAATTCACAAAGATCCACTTGCCTCTGCCTCCTGAGTGCTAGGATTAAAGATGTGCTTGCGCCACGATGTCTGGCCAAATTATATTCTTTTTAAAAAATGTATTTATTTTTATGAGTATTTTGCCTGCATGTATATAAGTGCACCTGTGTCATGCAATGTCTGTGGAGGCCAGTAGAGGGCGATGGATCCTGGAACTGGAGTTATAGATCGTTATTAGCTACCATGTGGGTGCTGGGAACTGAACCTGGGTCCTCTGCTAGTGCAGTAGGTTCTCTTAACCATCTCTCCAGCTCCAGCAACCTTTTAAAAAGATTCTCCTTTTTCCTTGCCCTTTATTCACATTATTTCATTTTAATAGTATGGTATATGTTCTTTTCCTTCTTTATAGTTTTATATTTATTTAGGTTTCCTTTTTGAAAATCTCATTTTAGCCTTGGGCTGGTCTTGAACTCTGCAGTGTGACGATGGACTTCTGCTTTTTCTACTTCTGTCTGTCCAATGCTACGATTAGAGGTATGGATCACCACACTTGGTTTATGAGGTGCTGAGGATCAAACCTGGGGTTTCACACGTACTAGGCAAGCACTCTACCAATTGAGCTACATCCTCTTCCTTATCCTCCCTTTGAAACAAGGTCTTATGTAGCCCAGTCTGGGCCTTGAACTACATATGTATTTGAGGATGACTTCCACCTTGGGCAGGAGCCTCCGGTTTCCACTGCCTAAATGCTGGATTCGGGTGTGCATCACCACGGTGGGGTTGGTTATGCTGTGCTGGGTCTGGAGCCCAGGATTTTGTGCATGCTAGGCAAGCATTCTACTAACTGGGCTATATCCCCAGACCCTTTTCATTTTTGTCTCATAGTAGTACAGGCTGGCCTTGCACTTGTTACATACCTGAGGATGTCTCTGACCTGGAGGATCCTTCTGCTTCCATTTATTTCCCAACTGTTTAATTAGGGGAGTGGACCACCACGCCCTACTTCCGTATGGATGCCAAATATCTGGAAGGACATTATGCCATGACATCGTAGTTATCACATTAAAAAAGAGAGAGATCATGGACCTTTCCACAGCATGGGCAAATGTGGACTTGAGCGAGTGTGGCCGTAACAGAGGGCCGAACCCTGAAGGTAGAGCCCCCCTCTGAGCTTGACCACGCCTGGGCCCGCTAGCGCGCCAAGATGGCGGACGCCCCGCCCCTCGGCCTCCCTAGGCGCGCTCGCGGGCTGGAACCGAGTGCTTCCGAGCGTCGCCGAGCGTTCCCGAAGCCCCGTGGAACCCCAGGAGCCGCCCGGGAGGGAGCGGCCCCGCCCGGAGCCTGGGAGCGGCGTCCTCAGCACAGGGGGAGGGGGGAGGGGAGGCCGGATGTGAGTGGAGCGGCCATTTCCTGTTTCTCTGCAGTTTTCCTCAGCTTTGGGTGGTGGCTGCTGCTGTGCTTCGCCTTCCAGTCCGCCTAGTGCCTGGCAGCGTGGACAGCGGTCCCGGCACTCCGCACCCTGCCGCCCGCCGCCTAGCGCCCGTCCTCCCGGCGTTTCCCGAGCCCTCCGCTTCCCGCCTCAGAGACCGGCCGCCGCCGCTGCGGCCCACGGAGCGGCCCAGATGCAGGCCATCAAGTGTGTGGTGGTGGGAGACGGGTGAGTGCACGACCGCGCCGGGGCGACCGGGCTCGGGGTGGGGGGTCGGGGGCGGGCGGGATCTGGCCACAGCAGGCCCGAAAAGCCTCGGGCTTGCGTAAATCGCGTGCTCGGTTTCCTGGGGGCGCGGGCCTCCCACCCTCCTGGGCCTGGTTCCGGCTTTTTGGTTGGGGCGGGGAAGGGCCTCGGGTGAGCGGACCGGAGGGAAAAATGAACTCCACCCTCCTCCTTCCCGGGCCGGACACTGCCCGTCGCCCTGCCCTAGTTGGCACGTAGACGAGGTTGGTTTGGAAATTTTTGCTTTTTCCTTGGAAAAAGGAAGTCTAGTTTCTTCATTGACCTCTGGATTCCCTCCACCCTCCACCCCGTCGAGAACTGGAGTAGAAAAAGACCTTCAAGGCTATCCTAGTCCATTTATGTTTGCACCGGGGTGATCCGAAACTTAGCAACGCCTCGGTTGTTTCGACTTTTTAAGGATCTTTATAAAAATGATCGTTTTCGTACTTTCCGCGGAGAAAGTTATTGGAATGCTAGCTGAAGGAGCGGGTGTGATGAAAACTGTTCACTGATCATGGTGTGGTCATTTTTTTTTTTTTTTTAAGTAAATTAGCCTTCGCTGAAGTTAGGTTAGGCATGGATGTAGCAGAACCAGCTCCCTGTGACTCGAGGCAGTTCTTTTCATGACTGCCCGTGGTGGCCACAGGCCCTGGAGGAAGACAAGACTGGTCTTATGCAGTTTTTTTTTTTTTTTTTTTTTCCCTCCCATAGAAACAAGAATCTCAGTGTAATAGGAGCAAAATCGCGGGTCTCAGCATTGTTTGAATAGGTTGGTGTTCAACTGGGGAGATTACTACCAGTTTCGTTAAATTCAGAATGCAACTGGTACATTTTCAAGTTCTGTAGAAGGAAGAGTTCTGTTCTGGACTCACATAAGTTTTGGTTAACAACTTCTAAGTTTGCCATTAGCACTGGTTTCCATGAAGACTCCTAAATTCATTTACAGATTTTTTTTTCAGTTTATTTAGATAAATCTACTTTAGATATTGGGAATTTTTCCTGCAACTAATTTTAGCCGTACAGCACAGTATTTTTTTATAAGGTGTTAGGCTGTGGGAATTTTTCTCATAAATGTGAAGTCTTATTAACATGTAATGTTAATAAGTCAATGTATCCTAAGTAAAATTTTTGTTTAATTTCATTAGGAATATGTCTGGTTGTTGTTGTTGCATTTTTTGTTTTTTTGATACAGGGTCTCCCTGTAGCCCCAGCTATGTAGGCCAGGCTGGCCTCCCATCTCAGCCCCTGGTGTGTTGGGATTAAAGGGCGTGCCACACTCGATGATGTACTACTTTTCTTTAACCTAAAAGAAAGCTTTATTTTGTTGCTTGAAAAACAATTGTTCAGTTAGTTTGATAGTGAAAGCTGTCTAAGTGAAGTTTTGTTTTGTTTTGGAGACAGTATAAATCATAAGTAATTCTGGTTTGCCTTCCAGCTTGGTCCTCAATGGTAATTCTTCCGAAGAAGCCTCCCAAGTCTTGGGATTATGGGTGTGGGCCACCTGGCCTGCTTAAGGGAAGTTTTGATTCTTTAGCATAGTGAATTAACTAAACATACTACCTTGTCTTAGGAACTTTTGAAAGTTTTCTGAAACTTCCTTTGAAAGCTGAAAATGTTGCATCAGCAATTTGTGGATTGTGAACAACCACTACAATAACAAGTTTTTAAAAAGTTAAATTGCTGGGACATCTATGCTATCCACAACCCCCCAAGGTTCAGGGACCATTGAGGAAGAGGTTGAAAGATCGTAGAGTTAGAGGTTGGGGGTACCAGAGGGAAACCATGTCTTCTGGACATGACAGAACTGCTGTACTCAACAGCAGCTGTGGTTGCCTGCCCAAGGTCCAGCCAGTACATATTCTACCTTGGAGTGGGGAGGGGATCACAGCCCTCACCCCTAGCTGAGGAGCTTTTGACTATTGTTGATGGCTTGTGGGGAAGATTCTGTTTTCTTTAAGGGTGTGGCCCCTGGTCCACCAAGTTCTAGTGGATGGCCCCACACCCTTGAGTATATGGACAAAACAAATTGAACACAGTGAGCCTTAAAAAAAAAAATTGGGTAGGACTGGATCTATTGGGGGTTGGTGAGGGAGTGAATGTGACCAAAATATATATAAGAAATTCTCAATCAATTAATAAGAAATGTATTTTTTTTTTAAAGTAAATGGCGCCCGGCATGGTGGCATGCCTGTAGTCCCAGCACTTGGGAGGCAGAGACAGGCAGATCTTTGTAAGTTCAAGGCCAGCCTGGTCTACATAGTGAGTTCCAGGACAGCTGGGGCCACAGGGAGACCCTGCTTCAAAAAAACCAAAAAAAAAAAAAAAAAGTAAATTGCTTCTAATCCAATACAAACCCCATAGTTTTTGAAAATTTCTGACTTGTGCATCAACAAGACAGGGCCTCCCTGTAGCCCCAACTGGCCTGGAATTTGTTATGTAGACCAGGCTAGTCTCTATCAGAGATCCACCTGCCTCTGTCTCCTAAATGCTGGGATTAAAGGGGTGCACCACCACACCACAGGCTCAACCAACAGATGTAGCAATACTAAATTGACATCTACTTTAAAAAAAAAAATATATTGAGAATTTCATATATGCAGATAAGGTGTTTTGATAAAATCCTTGCCCCCTCCCTCCCCATCATCTACTTTTCTCCTCCTGTACTGGAGCTGGAACCCAGGGCCTTGTGCTGGGCTTTTTTTTTTTTTTTTTTTTTTTTTTTAAGTAGTCAAATACTTGTTGAATTCCCACTGTGGGATCTGGTTTCTCCCTTCACATTCCTGCAGTGAGTACCCCTGAGCCTATCATTCATCCCCTAGGAGAAGTGCCTCAAGGGAAAGTTAAACAAGATGCTCAATATGAAGAGGCTCCTAAGTGCCTGGCCCCTTGCTGAGAGCTTAGTGCTGCTTACCATTGTTAACTGGGCTTTTTATTTACGTTTTTGCAGCCTAGTACTTCATCTCTGTGTTAGGTAAATACCCTACCACTGAGCTATACTCATCAGCCTCTTATTGTTGATGGTATTATTGCTGTTTTTTTTACTGTGAGGGTCTCTGAAGAATATTAGACATAAAAATAAAGTTGCTGGCCTTGAATCTCTACTTAAAAATGAAAACCTCAGCTAGGCTTAGTGGTCCATGTTTCTAATCCCGGCACTGGGAGGCAGAGGCAGGTGAATCTCTTTGAGATTGAGGCCAGCCTGGTCTCCATAGCAAGTTCCAGGTCAGCTGTAGCTACAGGGAGACTCTGTCCCCTGCCCTCCAAAAAAAGAAAATTCATTATTTTTACATCTATCTGTCTGTGTGGGGCTCTCGAGCCATGTTGAAATTGTGGAGATCAGAGTTAGTTCTTTCCTTCTACCATGGGATTGAACCCAGGTCATCAGACTTGTATGGCAAATATCCTTACCCCCTGAGCCAGCTCTCTGCCCTCAGTCGATTTTCACTACTGTATTTGACATTGATGTTGACTAGGATGGAAGCTGTATTACTTTGAGGGGTGATGGATAGCAAATATTAGTTTAGAAAAGTCTAGATGCATCATTTTTCATGCCAATAGTTTTCTACTTTTTATCCAGTAACTGATGGTGTAGTTGAACTGTCTTTTTTAAATATTTTATTTTTATTTTACGTGTATGAGTGTACTGCCTGCATGTATGTAAGTGCACCTGTGTCGTGCCATGCTTTTAAAAAAGAAAGTTTTGAGGACTGGAGAGATGGCTCAGCGGTTAAGAGCATTGGCTGTTCTTCCAGAAGACCCAGGTTTGAATCCCAGCATCCACATGGCAGCCAACAACAGTCTGTAACTCCAGTCTGATCCTGTGGATCTGATGCCCTCTTCTGACTTCCAAGGGTGTTGCAAAACACAGGTGCACAGCCAGGCATGGTGGTGCTTGCCTGTAGTCCCAGCACTTGGGAGGCAGAGGCAGGCGGATCTCTAAATTCAAGGCCAGCCTGGTCTACATAATGAGTTCCAGGCCAACTGGGGCTAGGGAGAAACCCTGTTTCAGAAAGACCAAGGGAAAAAACAAAACAAAACAAAAAACAGGTGCACTAACATGCATGCAGGCAATAGACTCATACACATAAAAAAGTTATCCTGAGAAATCACAGTTATAAACTGTGTCATCATCCTGTATTCTTCTGGTGGGTTAGTCTTTGTGTACTTTAATAGGTTTTGGATATAAAATACAAGATAAGACTTAAAGTTTATTGTAAATAGTCTTCCCTGAAAACAGGACCCATGTGTTTATTTTGGACACGGATCGCGTGTTCTGAGCCACACTGAGCTAGTGCTCTTGCACTCCCTCATGCGTACTTGCCTTTTCTCTTTTTTCTCCCTGGTCCTATGGACTGAACCTGGGGCCTTGCATTTGGTAGGCAAGTGCTCTACCCTTGAGCTAATAATAAGTCCCTACCCAACTCTGTCCTCTCTCTATCCTCCTGCCTGTACCTCCTGAATGATGGGATTTCAGGGATATGCCAGCACAACTTGCCCAATGTTTTTTTGTTGTTATTTATGTATTGATTAGTGTGTGTGTGTGTGTGTGTGTGTGTGTGTGTGTGTGTGTGTGTGTGTATGCATGCATGCACAAGTACCATGGAGGCCAGAAGAGGGAGTTGGATTCTTTGGAGCTAGAGTTACAGGCAGTTTTGGGCCACCTGACGTGGGTGCTGGGTATGATCTCCGGGTGGTTTGGTTTTGTGTTTTGAGACAGGGTCTCCCTGTAGCCCTAGCTGACCTGGAACTCACCATGTAGACCAAGCTGGCCTCACGTTCACAGAGATCCATCTGTCTGCCTCTGCCTCCTGAGAGCTGGGATTAAAGATGTGTGCCACCATGCACTGCTATGCACTACTGTCGTTTTGAGCTATTATTATGATATTTGAATTCTGCACTGGCTTCCAAGTTTACATTTAGTATGAGACTGATTTTGTTTGGTA